CCCGGGCTCGGAGCGGCCAGGTTGGGCGGGCGCTGCGCCTGGTGTGCAGGATCCTCAGCGTGAACTCGGAGGAGGGAGCCCTTCCCCTCCCCGGGTTTGTGTCCAGCTGGGCGGGGCCAGGCCTGGGGTGCGGAAGAGGCCCTTTTGGTTCCAGTAGGGTCACCCCCTCCCTCAAGGTGTCCTTCCTCCCCGCCTCTGGGAGCAGCCTGGCAGCCTGATTTGACCCGGGTGGGCTAGATTGCACAAAGAGGGGCCCCTCCCATTTGGATAGCGGGGGGGGGCGTGAGGCAGAGCGAAGCCGGCCTGTTGCCTGCAAAGAGCAAACCTCCTCCTTTCTTCTCTCTGCAGCTGATGGCTAAAGATGGAGGAGGAGCCCAAGTCTGCCCTGGCAACCAGGTGGCTGCAGGAATCCAGGTGAGGGGGGCGCTGGGACCCAGGCCTCCCCTGCCCCCGGATTGTGCAGGGCGTCAGGAACAGGGTGGAGGACGTGGTAGGAGGAGAGCAGCGATCAGGAGGCGTCTGGGAGCCCCTTTCCCCTCTGATTTGATTCAAAGGCAGGCGTTTTCGCGAGCTGCAACTGCATAGAACGGCCACAGCGATGTAGGATTTAAGTTGGGGGGAGGTGGGGGGAGGGAAGTGGTTATGCAGAAGGAGGAAGCCTCACAAGCCCCTTCTGCAGATTTTGACTGCAGGTCCCCCAGAGCTCAGCCGCTCCTCTTGCTGGGGAACCCGCTGTTCACCCGGCCCGCCACGGCACCGGTGCTATTTCCCTTCTTGCCAGTTAGGCCCAGTTGCGGGTCCTGGGGGGTCTTGCTGGGTGAGCGTCTTTGCCCGCTCAGCCCCCATTCCCTGCTGCTTCAGGAGACGCCGTGCAGCCTGGAAGACGACGAGGTTTTTCTGAGCGCCGAGGCCCCAGCGCCACCCAGGCCCAGCGCGGCCCCGGCGGATCCCTTCCGCCACTGCAGCGTGGACGAGCTTTACGAGCTGCTGGAGACGTTGGGCAGGTGAGGCCTGCAGGGCGTGGAGACCAGAGAGACCGGCTCTGCCTCCTCCTCCTCCTCCTCCCCCTTGCGCTGGCAGCACACTGTGAAGGCAGCGAGGGCAAACAGTGCAGGGATGGCACCGAGCCCCAAAGCCCATTGTGCGTCTCCTGGGCCCTTGTAGCCCCACCTGGGCCGCCCCTGCCAATAGCTAGCCACGCTGCAAGAACAGGGGAGGGATGACGGTCCTGCAGGAGTCAATTGAACACCTGGCTTTCCCCCCTGCCCTGCCCGGGCTGCTTTCTGCCTTCTCCCCCTTCCAGCGGACACTTCGGAGTAGTCCGGCGTTGCCGGGAACGAAGCACTGGCGTTTCCTATGCTGCCAAGTCGGTCAAGATGCGGAAGCGCAAAGGCAGCCGGCTGGGGCTGGACCGCGAGCAGGTGGAGCGCGAAGTCTGCATCTTGCAGCAGCTTCAACATCCCAACATTATGCGCCTCCATGATGTCTTCTCCAACAAGGCCGAGATGGTGCTGATCCTGGAGCTGTGAGTGCCAGGCAGGAGGAGGGGTCCCGGGGAAGCCCCTCCACCTGCCCAAGGCCCCATTCCCCAACAGTCCCCCCGGTGCAAACACATGCAGGCCCAGGGGTTGGGATCCCCCCCTTGGGTCAGGTGGGCGATGCTGCAGGCCATGGACCCTGTTCATTCCCCTGGGTTCAGACCCCGGAAGACGTTCGTGGAAGATTCAGGCGAGCATCCGAAATTGCCTGGTGCAGGATGAGCCCCGTTTGCTCTCTGCCTTTCGGTTTCTCTCTGCGACCTGAGGGGAGAAACAGCGGTCCGGTCCGTATTAACTGGTCATCCGTCCCCGTCCTGTCCGTTTTTCTGCGCGTAAAAATAAGGGTTGGTGATCAGATGCTCTTCAAAGTGGGCATAACAGTTCCCCCCTCAGCTCCCGGGGCTGGGTGTAGTGGGGCGTCCTGCGTAAGAGCCCTTGTGCACCAGATGGGGCCTTCTGGGGGATGGAGGGCGAGCCCCAGGAGCTTCCATGGGGCTTTGGGGTGTGGTGCTGTGCTTCAGAAGCCTTGGGGCACTCCGCAAGGGGGCGCCTCCAGCCCCTGACCCCCCTGCCTCCCCGCAGCATCCAGGGCGGCGAGCTGTTTGACTTCATCGCGAAGAAGGAGCTGCTGTCCGAGGACGAAGCCATCGAATTTCTGCAGCAGATCCTGCACGGCTTGGCATACGTGCACTCCCGCCGTATCGCTCACTTCGACCTCAAGGTACCACCCCGCGGGCTTCTGGGGCACCCCACACCGGAGCCTCGTTGGGCTGAGCATGGGCAGCAGCACCAACCCCCTCGGTCTCCTGTCTCTTCCGCAGCCTGAGAACATCATGCTGCTTCAGAAGGACGTCCCCAACCCCAGGATCAAGATCATCGATTTCGGGCTGGCGCAGAAGCTGGAGGAAGGGGTGGCCTACAAAAGCCTCTGTGGGACCCCCCAGTACATTGGTACGGCTTTGGGTCAAGGAGAGCGGAGAGCGCTCGCTCTCCGACTGGGAAAGGGAGGCTGAGGAAGCGCCAGCCGAGCCCAAGGCAGCCTTGGTGCTGTGCCCGGGCTGCCCTGAAGCCCAGCTCCTCCTTGAAGAAGGAGGCGGGCACCTTTGCAGGGACACCCAGAGTGTCTCTGGGAGAAGCTGGAGCTGCCTTATAGCCCTGACAATGCCCGCCAGGCGCCCTCGTAGCTGCAGTGGAAACGGGATTTCGGCCGCTGGGAGGGAACACCCTCGGAGGTCTTGGGAATGACACGTTGCCGCTTGGTTTCCTCCTTCCCTCTCTCGATTTCTTTCCCCCCAGCTCCTGAAGTGATCAACTACGAGCCCCTGAGTACAGCAACGGACATGTGGTAAGAGGCAGCCAGGGGGGCCTCTTGGTGGCATCGTGCAGGCCTTGGATAAGCCTGGTGGGGAGAGGAGGGTCAGGAAGTGGTTATGGCGGAGTTTCTCTCTCTGGCGCTCCGCAGCACGCTGCAGAAAGAAAAGCCCGTGTGCTAACCCTTTTCCTGGAAAAGAGGGAGGGATCGGGGGGGGGCTTTCTTCCACCCCTCCCTGTGCGTACGTCGACAATGTCACCAAGGTCATCCGGCTGGAGAAACGACCTCTAGCCGAGGAGAGTCCCTGCTGCGCCTTCAGCTCTCCCCTTTCTTCCCTCCTAGGAGCATCGGGGTGATTACCTACATTTTGTAAGTACCTGCAGCTCTTTTTTGGGGGGGGGCTTTGAGCAGATCCTCAGTTACGCCCCTGCTGTTCACTTAGGAGGGAAGCTGAGGAGAGCCATGTCCTCCTGATGGCTTGCAAAAGGAAACTTTTACTGGAGTTTGCCAGCTTTTAAAAAAATAAATAGAAATGAGATGGTACCTTTAAAGCTGGCGGATGGATCCCTCCCAACACCCCCTTTCCCTGCCTTTCTTTGGAACTGCCCCTTGACTTCTAACCGGGGGCTCCTGTCCAGTGCCAGTCGCCTTCCAGGCTAAGGATCGATTGCTCGCATGGCGTGGCGGGCTCTGACGCTCCCCCGAATCGTTCCTCCCCCAGGCTGAGCGGCATGTCCCCATTCCAGGGGGAGACAGACGAGGAGACCCTCTCCAACGTTGTCTCCGGGAATTACGAGTTCGAGGAGAAGTATTTCAGCCAAACCTCGGAGATGGCCAAGGACTTCATCCAGAAACTCCTGGTGAAGGAGCCCAGGTAACGCCCGACCCAGGGGCTGCAGGGGTCCCCCCAGCGCCTGCAAAGCAGGCGTTGTGTCTACCCCATCCAGAAAAGAGATGCAGGAATAGCACTCTGGCTGTGGGGAAGACCGTTCCTTGGGGAGGAAATAACAACAAAAATGAAAGTGGGGAGCGGCATGCATTGCCAGGATGCCCTCTCCCCAAATGGGGTCTCTCCTTCCCTTTCCCTGCCCCCCTTCGGCCTGCAAGAAGCCGTGCGCGAAAGGAGGAAAATGGATTTTGGTGTCTGTTTCAGGGAGCGAATGACAGCAGCTCAGTGCCTCCTCCATCCGTGGATCAAGGTAAGAGAATGAGTCCTGTCTGTCGGTCCGTCCCTTCCTTTCCTCCCTTCCGCTTTGAGCCCTCCTGGGCCGGGTGTGGAGGCCCTGTTCTGTGGTTCTCCGCCTTGGCAGGGGCTGGCCATCTGGTACCCAGGGCTGGTTTCAGGCGCTTGACTTTTTCCCTCTTGCCCCCTCCAGCCCCTGACCCGGAAGCAGGCCGTGAACCGGAGTCGCTCCTCCATCAATATGGAAAACTTCCGCAAATTCAACGCTCGCCGGAAGTGGAAGGTGAGCCGGGCGGCATTTCCGGGGCCGTTCCCCCCGTCTCCCCCAGGCTTGGCAGCAGAGGAGCCAGCTTGGTGGCCCTAGGCCCGTGAGCCTGCGTCTCCCCCATTGCCAGGCAGCGTGCCTCATGGGCCTTGTAGTCCAAGGCCTCTTCAGGCGGCAGTCAAGGCCTCAGCCCCCCTTCCTTTGCAGCTGTCCTACAACATGGTCTCGGCGTGTAATCGTCTGTGCCGGCTGCGACTCCTGTGTCAGCAGACGACAGAGGAGGAGGTGACGGCCCTGGTGGGTGCAGAGAAGCCCCTTCACTGCCTGCTGGCTGGCATGGAGGGGCTGGCGGGGCAGGGGCAGCTTCTTCCCCTCGCCTGACCCTCCTTCCCTTCTTTGCTCCGAGCAGCGGGACTGCGAGAGCGACCAGGAGGACGAGCCCAGCAGCCCGGTGGTCCTGCTCCGCAGGCGCCGAAGCATCTGCTCCTGAGCGCGACGGCGACTCCCGCCC